TACGTTTCTGCGCGATGTTTGAATCTCATGGTCACTTCTGAAACTACACTGCCCTGATGGTACTGTGAGCAGTCAGCTAGAAGATAAGCCAGGGCCAAATGCAGCAAAAAAGCCGCCAGCTGAGTTCTACTATGTTACTAGTAACGTAACAACTACTACTATTAAGTTAGTGCGATGTTCTATCGGCCTCTCTACGTGTCGTTCATTCATTACACATTGCTTCGATTGATCCTTCATTATACAATAAAATATACGTTTTCAGACTGTTAATTCATTTCAACATCTTTTTCGGTGCTGCTTGAGCAACTATCTCCACGTCGCATAGCAGCGCGTACTTCATTTAGATAAGGTATAGGTAGACTGAAATTGAAATGGATATTCTTTACGAGCTTGTACGCGTAAATTGCCGGTTTATACGTACCTCTGCATTTATGCTGTGTTGACCTTCTCTCTCTCAGTATATACGTGCAACACGCATAATAAATCCCGCTTTTGATATACCTAATGCGTTATACCTTATACACGATGTAATGAACAGCAGTGGTTGTTTTCCTCTGTCAGATTTTGCATAGTGTTATCTGAAACAATTCTTTCACTGAATGCTGAAACCTGAACGCCATATATATATTGACAACTTTTGGGAAGAATCGGATTCAATTTACCGGTAATGATGGATACATGCAGTTCGCAATAATCAACAACAACTGACGAATCTGACAAAACATTTCAAATAGATCATGCAGGACTATTTTACACAATTTTGGTAGACAAATTATCTAACATAAATGACACGAATAGCAATGCTGCTGTACAATTCAACTTCCCATGATTTGCAGGACCGTAAGGCAACGAGAAATTAAGCTCAAAAATGTCTTCAACATATTTTACTCAATATCTACCAGCTGCATGCCACTAACAGGCCTTGGTTGAACCAGAGGAGAATAAAGATAAACCATCTTTACATTACAACATAAAAAAATAAAAATATAACGCTTAAAGCTGGAACAGTAATTTCGATTTACTCAAACAGGCCT